TATATATATATATATATATATATATATATATATATATATATATATATGTGTGTGTAAGCCAAAAACTGTCACAAAATGTAAAGTGTAATGGGCATTAGATCAAAGTCTTGGCACCAGGCTGTTCAGCATTTGGTTCTCTTATGTTTTTGTTGACTGCTTTAATCTGCCCACTCTGCCGCAGGAGGCACAGTAAATGAGATGTTGTTTTTCTCCTGTCGTATCTTCTCTGTGTGGGCCCGCAACGAGTCCACCGTTGCCTCCAACATCCTCCTTGGATCAAGTCCTGATTGACTGAGTTGACTGACATAACAACTTTGTGACCTCCAGCTCAGAAGTAAGTCGGCAAATTGCACACGAAACATTTAAATTCTAAGAGTCTGCTTTTATTTCGTTGAGGGTATGTCATGGTTCTATGTCCATACGTCCAACAGAGAAGATGTTCTGTCCCAGAAGGTTTGTCCCCTAGATGGCGCTGAATCACTGAACTGGGGCCAGTTGTTAAATGATACCTCCAGCTTTCTGAAGCTGTTGGCCATAGAATCAGCTAACTCTCCAGCCTACTGGAAACTGCACTTCCCAAAATACCGAAAGTAACAGAAAATGAGCATCCAACCATTCTGACACTGCCCTTTGCAATACACATGATAATGATAAAACAGACTTGTTTTGGGCCAGATTAATACACATATACAGATCAAAATTAAATTCATTATTAAATGAGGAAGAACATTTAGATGCATAACCCATGAAATTTAAAAACACGAGAAGTTACATTTTCAATTTTGTAGTCCACAGATGCATTTTCTAGAACTGGCTTTAACCATCTTTTTTTTTTCTTTGAAAAAAAAAAGCCACTTACCATTCATATGAGTTTTTGCCTGACTTTCCTCTATTGAGTTTCACGTGGATCACTGAATCGTTTATGAAGTAAGATATACGAGGTGAGGTTTTCAAAACTGTTCTTTTGCATCAGCAGTCGCTAACGTTTCGTAATGACGCCTGAATATTTTATAGCTGGACTGATGATTTGCAACCTTTAATAAATGACTGATCAGTCATTTCCTATATGACGTGAAGCATTTTTGAATGGTACTATGAGGAAAGTCTTTTCACTGCTGAAAGCACCAGAATGAATAACATGAATGTGTGCATTGGACTGTACAAACATTCTTTTAATGCTCTCAAAATGACACTGTCACGCAGCAGACCCCCCCCTCCCCCCTCCCTGCCTACGCTGGCAGTATTGATCCATATGTGTCAGCTTCCCTGCACATTAAGACACAGTTATCAATAATTCTGTGTGTGGAACACACCAACACAGATTCCTTAATCTGTATGATGGTTTGCTTTCCACTAATGGCAACTGGCACAGTCACTGGTAACCATTCGGTCTGGCTAATGATGTATGAACTAATGAACTTTAGTCTTCTATCATCTTCCATTCTGCACTGCAGGAAACATCTGTGACTCACTCCTTGGCTCTGCTGCCTTCAGTAGCCCCACAGTCTGACATTTACTGCCTGTCCACTGTACACCTGCTTTCATCTGATGAAACAGCAGGGTCTTTCATTTCTGGGGAGGAGGAGATGTGCTCTTCTTTGATATGCTTTAAATTGGAAGCTGAGGAAAGTCCTGCCTTTTTTTGGGGTAAAACTTACTGCATTTTTTTTTTTTTTTTTTTTTTTTTTTAAAAGGTACAAAGAAAGGTTTTCTTCATGCAGCTTTTGACTTGCTGCCTCGTGACTACTGAGTTTTCTTCTCAGACTGTCAGGGTGGTCCCGTGGTTACTATTGAATGGGGAAAGGGCAAAATGCATTAAGGGGAATTTTTAAATTCTACAGTTTCACTTTCAATTACTTTTCATGATTTATATGAAAATGAAAAACTTATTGATGAAGTCAACGTGTCATGTAAAGGGATTTATCCTAATCAGACATACGTATAGAAAGTAATATGGTTTCACCATAATGCATATGCAACAAGTTGTCTCATAGAATGGTAAAATGAGCCCATTTTCAAGGCTCCAAAAATCTCATAAGCTTGTCGCCATCAGTTCGGTTAAACAATTTTCACTTTCTATTGCTGCTGTTCAGTAAGGTTTTGGTCTAAAAATAAATGAGTGAACATGGATGTATTGAGTTTATGTTAAAGATGTTTTAGATTGATGCCACACTTGAGTTAACACTGAGGAAGTGGAAAGCCAATAAGATTGGCCTTTTGTTCTGCTCACTAACCAAACTAGATTAAATAAGTGACACAAGCCAAAATTAACCCGTCCAATATTTTGCTCAACAACATGTTTCCACGGCTGGAAAATACCTAGTGTGACTGATTCCACTCAACAACAACAAAAAAGCCAATAGCTTGTTTGCCATCACGACCTGTAATTACACAGGTAAATCAGCCATCATATTCTGAAATCCAGAATAAAAAATGAGCGCAGCAGAAATGTGGATGCATTGGGAAATGCTCCAAGTCTAATTGGCTTTTTGCTCCTATGTAATTCTTAGGCTTTTCTTATCTATATGTAATCTCGAATGATAAAGACATCCACAAACAGATTTTGGAACACAATTTGAAACCAAAAGTACAGCAACAGTCAGTCACTGACAGTCTGTTCTCCTCTAAAAGCTGGGACACCAAAGGCTGCTGATAAACTAAAGAGAATATTGGGCCATCATTCTTTGTGACAAGCAGTGTCTGAAAAAACAAAGAAATTCCACTGACAGCGGTTTGAGTATTCTGCTCTGGAAACGCACTTTTAAAGAGAGATAGAGCTGCAAGTGAATATCGCCATCTGGTGGATATCAGAGGTGAAGACAGTTTGGCTGCAGCCAAAGCCTTTAACCTGATTTTGTCATTAAAGGATGAGGTCACATCAGCATGAATTAATCTCAGCAGCGGATATGTGTGTGTATGTTTGTGTGTGTGTGTCTGAGTCCAGCACTGATTTATAAGGCGGAGGGAAACAAGACTGGTTGTATAGCAAACAGCCTGATGCAACAAGTCATGTGCTCATCATCTAAAAGGAAGAGAGGTCCCTTCTGCCTCAGGAAAATACACTGAGACACGGTGTCAAAACAAACACACACCTCACTCTTTGAAGAATGAGTTCAGCCAATGATGTTATGTGCAAGACAATCTGTGTGCATGCCTCGAGAGATGAGTGTGTGTGTCTGAGTGAGCGATGGGTTCTCCTGCCAGCTCCCACATCTGGAGCACACTACAGGCCTGATGGAGGACCAAAGAACCAGAACAGAGAATATCTCTGTTTCCTTCTCTCTAATAGGAGCCTGTGTGACTTTGATTAATGAATCTTCTGCCAGGAGCAGATCTGTTTTTCACGCCCCCTTGTAAGGGCTCAGAACTCTAACCCCTCTGGCTCAGGTTGCTGTGGGCCCTGAAATCACAGCACGGTCAGAGGTCCCAAGTTCAGCCGTACTGGATCAAATGGCTGTGGGATCAGAAAAGACAGGAGCACTGTTGAGGTTCCGTGAAATGAGGGATTTGTCTATGCTCTTCTAGTCCTGGGTGGCTGTGGGAAGTAAACTGAAGGTATGAGAGACCACCTTGTTCATCAGAATGATGCAACTACAAATCAAATAAAAAAATTAGACACAATAAAAACAATTACATCTTCCAAATACACCAGTTTATTGAATTTCAATACATCTTTTGAAAAAGCTTTTACCATTATGATTTAATTCCTTATAACATCACTCTGATGACATTATCTTCCATGAGAACAATATGATAGAAGTTTGTATTGACATTTCATTCAAGCATTCTCTGGATGACCGAGAAAAGGCCTGTAAAGCGATTGCCCACACATACCTTTTGTGAAGCCATACCTCTGTAATGTGTATGGGGTGTGGTTTTCATTGGCCTCCCCGGAATGGCGATTGTTTTGAGGGAAGTGCATGCTTCTCTAAAATCTTGATGACATTTTTTGTACTCGGGCTCCAGTTTCAATCGGACAACCACAACAATATTACCACAAACCTGAAAATGAAGTGGTCTTCTTTCAGCCGTCAAAATAGCTCTTACAAGTCACAATGGACAAAGAACATCTGAGAGAGTCTTGGAGTGGCCGGTACTGAGACGCTCTCAATAAAACCACTGGGTGGGTCCTGTGGGCTGTGGCGTGGAATATTTGTGGATTGTGTTTGCCTTCCACAGGTGCAAGAATATCCCATCAGGCCACTATAGTTTGGAGGCTGTGTGAACTCTGTCTCTGTCATGCTCTTCACATCCATTACATGCTGTAGCTGTTGGCCTGCAGGTCTGTGCCAAGTGTCACAGCAATATCAGTTAGGGTAAAGGTTTTCCCAGCAGAATTATGTACAGAAATGAGATGTGATGTTATTCACTTAATCTGTTAATATTTTTCATATGTTAGGGCTCATGGGTTTCCAACTTGGTGTTAAAGAATTATTGACTCAAGAGTGGGATTCTTTGTCCAAAATGCCTAAATGTATAGATGACTGCTCTTTTCATCCCCATAAAATCAGGCATGATAAGCTTACTTTGTGCAAGGCATCCCTTTATGTCATTAAACTTTTTACAGAATAAGGGAGGTTCTTAGGGATAAGAGGAACACAATTCCCCCCATAAGCTTTATTGAAGTTTGTTTTAAAGCAAAATTATCTCCTTTTTCAGAGAGGTGACGCAGTCAGATATTTCATGATTTAAAGCTTTGATTCTGCCAACAAGATGGTTATCATATTTATGTGTAAATAATAGGTAACTGCCCTATATACCAAGGAAAATAGTGATATAATAGGACTCTTTGAATTTGTTTAGTGTTCTCTGATGATCCATAAATAGAAAATGATTCTGAAAATAAATTAATAAAAACTCTTAGAAGTTGTGGGTGCCAATACGTATAATCTCAGAAGTTATTTAAAATAACCAGATAGTTATTTATGTTTGTTGTTCACGCTCATTGACATATGCAAAACACAAGATCGAGAGGATAACTGAGGTCTGTTCACATTTAGCATCTAATGTGGACATGAGGGATCGTTTAGGCTTTCATTTTTAGCACCTACATGAATGTTAGCGTGCCCCATAGTTGAGAAAATAAAGACTCAAGCCCTCAAAAGGGCTAAAAGTAACCTCTGGTCTAGACCGATAAGTAACCCTGATTCATAGATCACTGCCTCTCGTCCTCGACAGCCTGTGGTTTGAGGAATTTGCAGATCTAAATAGCCAGAAGGAGCTGATTTCGCTCATGCTAACACAATCCCCCTGCTGCGGCGTGGTTTGTGCAAGAATAAATAAATAAATATGATGATCACCAACCAAATCATTTCCATAATGACTCCTGGACACGAGAG